GATGCAACTCTGATTAATTTCATTGGGTTCGGTCCTGACTAAATGGAAGGGGAAGTATAATCTCTGCCAAATCCGTCTTCTGTCTGCAGACACCTGGTCTGCCCATCATGCCATTCCTCGGGGTCCTCTGTCCCCCAGGAGCAGCATGTCAAAGAGATCAGGGAGAGGGAGGCAGGAAAGTTCTGTTCTGCAGACAGAAGTGCCTTCTATTAGTGGAAAATTTAGTCTGGATCCAACCCATTGTTTGCATAAAATGAATATCTGATTCATCCGTCACGTCCCCTTCTCCCCATTGCCACTTGTATGCCCGCAGAACGGTAATTTTTACCAATATAGAGAAGACCTGGATGTAAAACCTATTTTTAGACAAGGAAAAATTTAGCAGGAGAACTAGCAGACAATGGCTAGGATCCGAAATAGTGTGAAGAACCAAGGTTGTTGGGTTTTTTAAGGGCAAATGCTGGTTCATTATTTTTTGCAGACACACAGGTTTGGGACTGTAAGTTAAAAAGTGCAGGATACCATTAAGGAATACCAATTGAGTGCAGCTAATACGACTGCCGCGAATACAATAACATAGGGGAAAATGAAAGATTGTAGAATGATGGCTTTTCTGTTGTTTTACTAAAAGAGCCAGACGATAAGATGGTATTTTGCTGGGGATCATCTTGAATGCTTATTAATCCCACTGATTCTTGTAGTAAAAATTAACAGATGTGCATTATGCCACATTTTCCCATACACTCATGGATCATACTAATAAGAGCATAATCAAGCTACGTTTTAGGGCTGCTATTTTTCTCCTGACACAAGCTCCATGATGGGAAAAACTTTGCCTGACAATTTCTTTTCTGCCATGAAGCTGTTTAAAGTATTGTGCTTGGGGGGGGGGGAGGTTTTAGGAAACCCCAATAGTTATATACATGAAATTTCCATGTAGTGCTTTTAAACTACTTTGAAAACAGCCCTTTTGCCTACCTACACTACAAATTTATACTGTTTTTATAATTAGTTTCATAGTCATGGGAATCCGGGGAACTGTAGTTGATGAGGCTGGTAAAAATTCAAGATGCTGCGAATTTTGCAGCAAACATGTTCAATTGCCAAACATATCTTGTTTGACAGCAACCCCAACCTGTGAGCCAAACAACTCATCTGTTTACCTGTCCATCCATTACTTTACATTGGCTGTTGAACAGTTGTTACCTGCACAGTAGCCATGGTGGTGCAGTTTCTTTGTGGTGGTGCAATTTCATTTCTTTACTGGGGGAGGGGGCTGCATCTGGGTCATAGATGAGATTGTTTCTACGTACGGTCATGGATAGTTGGATCAGATCCTTAAATTACATGAGAGAGAGCTATGCTTCTCATCAGGCTGTGCAAAAATGTGTATGTGCAAACTAATGTCGATAACACAGGCTTAAATTTACTGGTTCGCTCATAGATCTATGGCTTTACCTAAACTACAGATCCTGTAAACTGAAGCTCAGAATCCATACCATATAATTTATACCAGCATTGTGCAAAACGACAAAAAAACCCATCCTTTATCATAACTGATGCAGCCTTGGAGTGGCCAGGGGCCATAGCTTCCAATACAGTCATTCTTAGTAAACGCATTAGACCATGGTGAAGTTTATTTGCTGCATATGAACTGCCAGACAAAAGCAATAGTTCTCTTTGCACATTCAAAGAACATCAAGCACTTTTAAAGAACGATGGCAGATACAGTAAATCTTGGGTTTTCCTAGCCTGCAGCTGAAATGACATTGACAACTGATCCCAAAGAAGTGGCAACAACTCATTACCATATGTTAATACATGCAAATACTTATGTTTAAATTGCACATTTTTTCATAGTGAGACAGGACTGGCACAGCGTAAAGGCTAGCCAAAAAGAGAACATACAAGAGAACAAAATTAAAGAAAAATTGAACATTTTTTTTAAAAAAACAACTGAAAATGTGATTCCCTACTCAAAAAAGTACTGATCTTCAAAATAAAACCAGAATGAAGGCAGGCATATTAGTAAATGACAAAGATACCATAAAGTTTCCATGATCTCACTTATCCAATGAAAACTAGGTCCTACTGTCTAGAACTTTTCACTATTTGGTGAAATGGGGAAGCATGATCACTGTATCTATCTGAAAGTAAGACCAATTTACTCCTGTAGCATTTACTCCCAAATTAGTGTACCTAAGGCCCTGGGAGATTCTTACACATTACTCTGGGGGATTCACCACTGGATCTTTCTGGAGTTTTTAAAAGATTAGTAGCTGCTCTGTAGGTCCTCAATTTGGCTGGGACCTGCCACAAAGGGAGAGAAGAGGTTTAACCTAGCTATCATTTTTATACATGTTTATCCCACTCTTCCTTCAGGGCACTGAGGGCAGCATAGATTTATACTCACAGCACCCCTGTGAGGTAGGTTAGGTTTAGAGAGAGTGACTGGCCCAAGTTCACCCACTAAGATTCGCAGCCGAATGGACATTTGAACCTGGAATTCCCAAGTCCTGATATTCAAACAAACCTACCCCTGTTTGTTTTCAGGAGGAAGAACAGTGCAGGGAAGTCAGTTTTATTCAGAGAAAGTGTTTGAAAGTAGAATTGGAACCATGCATGGAAACTGTTAGTTATTTGAAAATGCAAAGAAGATCTGATCACAAAGCCCCCAGTGTTGCATCTGTTTTTGAAGGAACCATACCTAAAACCTGAGCCCCTGGACAGAGATCTTCTGTACCTACAGGAAGCACCAAGCATTTTCACAGGTGGTCATGTGAGGACTGCTGAACTTATGAAGTGGGCCTAAATGTGCAGCAGCCAAGTGTAGAGAAATCCAATTATGGGCATGCATGTGTGAACCAGACTTACAGTTCTATAAAAGGAATCCTAGGTTCAGTGAGTCTAGACAGCCAGGTACAGCTGTTTCGTGGCAAGACCTCTGAAGCTGGATGAAGCTCTCCTCGGCCTTTTCCCCTTTGTGTTCAGTCAGCCAGATCCTAGCCCTGAATATAGATTGATATATTATCCTGACTGAATTTCACAGTCTGCTATTGCCATTCACAAAGACTTGTTTATATTTGGAATGGGTTTGCTGGTGTGTTTAATCCTGTAATCTCTCCAAGGTAGAACTGCAAGTAATAACAGGTATTAAGACAAAGGTGAAATGGAGCAAACCTCCAGATGGTGCCTTTCAGATCACTTCAATGCACGCTGCTAAAAATTCAGGTCTCTGGTGCTAATCCTCACACTCCACTTAAAAGCCTCCCCTGCTGCTCCCAGATAGGTTGCCATTTGTCACTCATTTTTTTTGACAAGGGACAGTCTAAGCTTTCTGTCACTCCTGTTCAAAGTGATTTCTAGACTTCTGTTTAGAAGATCTCCAGGTGGTATAATTTCAGGGAACCATGGCCAGTTTACTCCTTCCTGCTGTCTAATAAGGTTTAGTCCCCAAAAGACAATAAATATGGGTGAGAAAAGTGTGCAGCACACACCATTCCTATGCACTGAATGGCTTGATTAGTTGAATGTCCAGCTGAAGCCTTGGAGTCCATAGAGCTCTGCACACTAGAAAGCAATGACAACGGCATCTCAGCCAAGCACACACAAGCTCTTCTGTTAAACTATATTCTAAGATCTTGTAGTATCTTTATCAGTCAGACAGGCAGCAATTCCTTCCAGGTGCATACACAGATACTGCACCACAGTACAGAAAGTATGGCTACTTTGTTCCTAGAGATTAGTATTTAAAATTTCTTCACCTGAAGGCATAGACAGTAAAGGCTCCCTGTGATTTTATAAATTTTTATTTTAAATTTTGAATGATGTTTGTACCACAACATAGGATGACAATAGAAACCTAGAAAAAAGTGAATCAAAGATAATCTCCCTTATATATAAAAGCCGAATGGTGGTGGCACTTCTCTAGAACATTCCATACGCTCCAGAATTGGTTGGTGCCCTGGTGTGTCACTCAGAATCTGTCCCTATCCACTGACTGCATTGCTTGAGTCTCGCCTCCAACATTCTAAACAGTTTGCTGTTCCTCTCCCTCCCGTAGCCAGTCAGAGCACAGAGGTTATTTGCATATGCAGCCTCATTGGCCTTTGCCTTGGAACACAGAGGTCATTTGCATATGCGACTTGATTGGCTTTTGCCTCTAACATTCTAACCAGTTTGCTGTTCTGAGGTAAAATGTGTCCAATCTCCAGGTGAGGGCTGGAGATCACTCAGAATTACAACTGCTTTCCAGATGGCAGAGATCAGTTCCCCTGGAGAAAATGGTGGGCTCTGTATCCTTATATGCTGCTGAGGTGGCCCCCATATGACAGCCAATGTGACGTAGCAGTCAGGGCTTCAGAGCACGGGGGAGGCTGCAGGTGTGTGGGGGGTGGAAAGCTGAAGAGTGAGGGGGAAATAAAGGTAGGTTGATGATTGGCTGGGAAGGAGATAGGGTTGCCAACTCCAGGTGGGAAATTCCTGGAGATGTGAGGGATGGAGCCTGGAGAGGGTGAGGTTTCAGGAGGCGTGGGACCTCAGACAGGTACAAAGCCATAGACTCCACCCTCCAAACCAACCATTCCCTTTTGGGAATGGCAGCTGCGAAGTGCCCGGGCAAGCCAAGGGAAGGCATGGGGGTATGGCCTAATAGGCTAATGAGCTGTGCTGTCATGGGTGTGACCTAATATGCTAATGAGTTTCTGCCATTGGGTATGGCCTATTATGCTAATGTGTTCCTTCCTTTCTACAAAAAAAGCCCTGGTTATTTCATCTCCTGTTATACTGGAGGATGTAAAGGTGAAGTACATATCTCTTGGTTCCATCCTGGTAACCCTCAGTGGTTCATGGTAGCCAATATATGCCCCAATTTTTTAGGAATCCATATTGGAGGCATTTTAGTGATGCACACAGTAAGGCACACTTATTACAGTAATGTTGAACTGTGTTTGTCAGTGAATGCTCAGGAAATCCCTGACCAATCTTTACTTGCTTCGCAGGTCCTGCAGTGAATGTGAGCTGCAACATTTTTATCAACAGTTTTGGGTCTATTGCAGAAACTACTATGGTGAGTTTTTAATAAGTATAGCTTTCTTATTTGTTCATATTGTATAGCCTGCCCAGGTCAGGCAACACTTGTGTTCTAAAAAGCTCAGATTCTGTGTGTTTCATATAATAATGGATATTATTTATTAGTTCACAGTTCTTCTAGATGATCTTTTGAGAAAAGTTCTTGATGTGGTACACAAATAACCATCATCATCATCATCATCATCATCATCATCATCATCAATTTATTTATTATTTTATTTTATTTTATTTCATTTATACCCCGCCTTCCCCGCACGCGGGCTCAGGGCGGCTTACACAGGCACAAAAGTGTGATGAAAATACAAGTTAAATCAATTAAGGCACAAGTGCAGTAAAAGTCAACAGTTAAAAGAGTTTAGGCAAAAATGCACATCTCACAGGATACATAATG